TTGTTTTGCTTTGCTTGTGCTCCCGGCTTTTGCTTTTCCTATTAAACTGTTTTTATCTCAACCCATGGGTCTTCTCACTTCTACTCTTCTGATTCTCTCCCCCATCCCACTGTGGGGGGAGTGAGCGAGTGGCTGGGGGGGGCTTAGTTACCAGCTGGGGTTAAAGCATGACCAGCAGTTATAAGAAATTTGACTGAAGGAAGCCATATATGTAGCACTAAGTCACTGATACCATCTAATCCACATTAGAACACAGTTCTGTAAGTGTTCATATCAGATGACTAGGATCATCATTAGAGTTGCTAGATACCATAAAAATAGCCATTTTTCCTTTGAATTCACTCTTGAGACGAAAGGGAGAAGTGTTTAAGACTGGAAGTATCATAAGCGGAATTGAAACATATTATCTAAATGAAGCAGGGTTCAAATACAGGGAACTGATCAGACAGAAAAACAGCACATGTGCATGCAGATTCCTCTTACAGAAAAATGAAATGAAAATACTTCAGTATGAACAAATGTCTACCATGCCATACCTTGCAAACTATTTCTATACCACACGAGTTGTCTCCGTGGCTCTGTACTCCAATTTTTTCAACTCTACTTATGACTCCAAGGGGAACATCAACAACGAAAGGTGGATCCTGAAATTTGTATATAAACCAAACGAATTTTGTTACATTAGGAGGAATACAAACATACTGTTCATGTATGTTTCGTTAGAGTCAACTATAATTCCTGTTTAATAGACTGCTGTGGAACATCATACTTCACTTACACTAAATTTGTCAGTTTCTGAAATCTACTAGCAACATTCCTACCTGAAACAATATGCAGATAGATAGTGAGGTCTTACCCTTTCAACACTTTTGATATACATTCTGAAGTCCGTCACTGTTAGTGTACCACTGACTGCTCCCATAAATGGACAGATATACATAACATCTTTAGCTGGAAAACAGACCAATTAAAGCTTTGTTTTACTATTATAGACATTTGTTCCATAAAAATCTATTTCCGTTTAAAAATAGCAAGATTTTTGCAGTTCCATAAGATTTTGATGCTTGACCTCTATAGGAAAGCCTACTCTTCAGATGCTGTCAGGACTGAAAGAGCTGTCTTTATCTCAACAATGAAAACAATCGAATTCCTCAGTCCCACTGCTTCTCAGCAACTACTGAGCAACTGGGGCTGGGCTCAGCTAGCATGGGCTGCAGTAGGGGCAGGCAGGTAACAAAGCACCCTGCTGGTATTCTTAGCTGCAGGCGCTCTGGTCCCTGCCCTGACGTGTAACGCACCCACGCTCACCTCAGAGAGAGAGCATCCAAATGGGCAATTACTGATGTGTACGCAACTGATCTCCAAGTAATTCAGTTATATGCCCATATCTTCATTTTCACTTTTATTTGAAAGAGCTAGTATTCTTTTCTAGCCGCATACTGCACTGCTAACGCAGAGCTTGCCGTCACAGGCCAAAGTGAAATACATCTCACTAAGAACTGGAAACTAAGTTTTCCAAACTTCATCATCTTTGCTATCATAATTTTGAAGCTTTTGAATCTACGAAGTATCCTTGGCATCCCCAAGCAGAAGTACAACCAATACACCTGTATGGAACAAACTAACTCTTGGAAAAAAATGATTTATCTATATAGAGCAAGTTATCCTCTGCAACTGATTTCTCCTTCCTACATTTGGATTTAAAAGATAAAGAAAAGAAATCCTTATCAAATCAGCCAACCTAAAGTGAATTAAATTAAAATAACAAAAGTAAAAATGAAATAATATTCTGTTTTTAAATAAATAAACCAGTGATTTAATAGTATTCAGTGTAGTACTCAATAGTATGCTTACCAATAACTTTGATTGATTCTCCAGGAAAAAGTGGAGCCTCCTCCATCTGTGCTAGTTTGTTTCCATCCCGCAGTGCCTGGCAGAAATCCAAAACCATGAGTAAATCTCACTTTCCATCTGTACTACATCGATACATTTTGATGCAAAGTGCTTTTACTACCAGATTACTGGAACACAAGGAGTGTATCTTTTTTTACAAGGCACAACTGTATTAAACAGTACCATAGTAAAAAAAAAATCGGTATTATAAGCATTACACAGACATACATGTTAGTAACATATTAGTAATAAAGCATTTATGCAACAATTAGTTTCACAGGCTAGCTACATATAGCATGCAAAAATATGAACAATAAGATCTGCCCAAATTTGTAATTAATAGTTTGTTAGTGTTTTGCTAAATGCAGGTATTGTTTTGGGTATTTTATCTACTTGAGAACATTTTAAAGCTCATAATAATTTTTTTCCTATTCTTAATGTTGTTTATTTAATATTTGAGTATTGTCACCTGAGAGAATTATGTGGCAGAAGCTTTATTTATTTAACATTTTAACTTTGCATTTTTGATAGCAAAAAGTCAGTCGCTCTATTTTAACCAATACCCTACTGAGAGTGCCAAAATTATGGAAGAGGTCCATTACAGGAAATTTGGATCCAGAAAGTCAGTAAGAATGAAGTAATAATAAAATATAGAAGAACAATTAGCAATTTTAAAATAAGGGCTAGTTCCATAAATTTTCATTTAGGTAAATGGCTTCATTCCTGAATGACACAAGATTGATCCTTTGGGTCCTTCGCTGGCAGCTAAGATTTACAATGTACTAAAGATTTTAATTAAGAATAAAAGGGTTTGCGGGACCCTTAAGGACCATGTAAGAAAGTGATCTCTTCCAGGTCACCATGATGAGATATTTAGGTTTCAATTTTTTACATCCTGAAGTGAGAATAAGTATAATGGGCTATGTTACAGTAAACAAATAACTCTTTCCTTGTATTACTGCTCTGATCTACATACAAATAACTGGTAGGATCTGTCTGCCTCCAAACAAACTACCCCAAGCCCTCATTAATAAATGATTTCTAAAGATATTTAAATTGATCTCTGGCTTTAGATTTTTTCGGAAACTAACAGAATTTTACATTCAGCACCCAATCACGAAAGATGATGTGTAGAGAATTAGCCGATACTTACAAACTTAGAAGGACAGATGTGCTCTGTCAGACAGGGGCTTAGGTACAGTATCACATTTTAGACTACATGACATTACACGAAAACCCTACGTAGCACATAATCAGCTAACACACTAAATGCTTTCTATGGATTCTCTTGCATGAGAAATATAAATTTGTACGTACTGTACAAGTACTAATATATAGTACCTTGCTACACAGTTAATGAATGAAAGATGAGTAAAACTTGCCACCTGATCAGGTTCTGCTTCAGAATGATAGCCATTGTGTCCATCCTGAATCTCCTGCATTGCATGAGGCAGCAGTAGGGCAAGAGAGAAGTAACAGGAAAAAACATGCAGACAACAGGTGAAAGGACAGAATCTTTTCTTTTTTGTTTCCTGTTTTTTTTTTTTCCTTCCTTAAAAAGACAGCATATACTTTAACTCCAGTTTAGCTATTCAAAATCTTCCACTCCTAGCACAAACTACTTTCCACAGAAAGGAATCCAAGCTATTAGCATGATGCTTTTAATGTTATTTGGCACAACACAAAATGAAACATTTAATCCCTTTTTCACAAAAGAGTCAGTGCTGGTAGATAAGAACACAAAAGTATGTACTGTCTTTTTAAGACAAACAACCTTATAGTGAAGAAAATGAATTCCAAGTATGCCACATGCTTATCAATAGAAGAAATTAAGTACAGCTTGCAATGGTAGCATTAGGGGAAAACTCATGCAATCTTTCACGGAAAAAATAGGTCGACATCAAATAGAAGTATCTAGACAATTTAGAAAATGCTTTACTGTGTAAAACGTGTTTTAATTGAACTTTCAGTTCTATGGTTTCACATATTTTTCCAGCAACTTCTGTGTTGTTGCTGGAAATCTAGTCAGTAACTTTACAGAACCTAAAATTACTCCTCATAGCAAAATATGCAAACAATTCACATTTTTATGTTAATTTATTTTTGCATCATATTGGCAGCAAATCCTGAATATTAATTAAATCTCTTTAATAAACGTCAGGTCCTTATGCACTTCAGAGAGAAGCACAAATGTCATAAAGTCATACGAAGCAATTGTTTTAATACATTCAGCCAAAATTGTTCTTCCGTCTTCTTTCTTTATTAACTGGAGAGAAATTGTGTTCATGACAGTCTATTATTCCCAGTTCACATGCAAAGAACTTCTCGCTTGATAGAGTGTAAAACCAGCTGCAGTCTAAATTGACATATGTTTGCTAAAGTCAATTTCTCTTTTTACAGTATTTCTACAGAACCCTCAAAAAAGAAAAACTTAGAAGAAGGACTTCAGATATCTTCAGATAATTTGAACTCTACAAGAGTTATAATTAATTTTAAAAGCCTTTCAAATTATAAATGACTCCTACCATTTATGTATTAGTGGAATTCTGTTAAATAGAAATTACTTAAATTTCAGATTATAAAAATGTTGTTTCTGAAATTAAAGCAAAGTAGATATTGTGATCTCTGGAAGAAAACCAGAAGGACAACCAGCAAATACACCAAAAGATTTTAAATAAATGAAAGAGAAAGAAGCACAGCAGATCATTCAAAGATCAAAGCCTTTACAAAGAACTATGAAAAACTCAACGAAAACAGTCAATTTTTGTTGCTCAATTCAGACCAATTATTTCAAGAGCTATCTATTTAAAAAAAAAAAGATCAACTTGTGCATTTGTATGATTGGACTAAACACATCGTTTTCAAATATGTAAACAACGGATGAGAAAAAGAAATCATTCAGGCTTCATCTCTCAGTTTGAGACTGAACAAGAAGTCTTTGTTTGAATAAAAGTGTTACACACATTTCATGAACAATGTCAGAACAGTGTCCAGATCATTTCTCGCTTCATAAATGTTACTAAGAGAGAGGGACAAGAAAACAAGGCATGCCCTTTTTATATCTCCAATGAACAATGGGCAAGACCTAGTCTCAAAATTATCATTAAAAAGATGCAGGTCATTGCACTAGTGTCTAACTTCAAACCTAACTTTCAATCCTACTTCAGGGTGGTAACAATTAAGGTAAAACATGCACGAAGGCAAGCATGAATTGGTATCTTATTTAAATAGGATAGACAAAGACGTAACGCTTTTACCACCAATATTCTTTAGCATAGATAACACATTAGAGCTGCTAATACAGTACTCTGTAGTCCGAAGCATGTAAGCCTCAGTTGCAAGCATCTATTTTGTCAAAATTAATGTAATAAAACTGAAGTTAGTATTGCACATTCATAACATAATTTAAAAATACTGCTCTCTTACACATTGACTTTTATTGCTCACGAAAACATTGTAATGTATATAAAGCATTTCTATGGCAAAGAAGCTGTTGCACTGCATAGCAAAATGGTCTGACTGGTTCATAAAAACCATTAATGAAGTAAAGAAGAATGCTTGACACACCAAGATCTCACACAGCACAAAAGACAAACAGGTAGGAGGCCATTTTACTGCTAGCCAAAGGTAATCTTACCCGTATAACAGGCCTCCTGTACACCTGTTAGTTAAAATATAAAATGTTATCCAACAAAACACACAGATTTGATTTTTTAAAGATATTATATCTTACTTCATCAGATTTTCAGAAGTACTCTACTTCCAAACATCTTAATTATAGCCGGATTGTGAAAGAACAAAACAAAACTATGCAGCTCTCATTTGTAGAATTGTTTTGGTCTAAAAACAATCTAGGCACTTCATTTTAGTGATGTAACAAATACCAAGCTCTTTTGAAACATTCATTCCTAATCACCCTTTTATCCAGTTACAATGTGCTATTGTGAAAAGAGAAGAAAGAGCCTGATAATCCTTCTAGGTGGAAGATGATAAGCCTGCAATAACAGCCATGAAGTATAACCACCATATCTTTTAGATTCAAATGGCAAAACAAGGATAGCGACAACTCTTCTCAACTTATTTCTGCAGGTGTCTATATTCAGCTACTATAATCTAAGCAATTTTCATTTATATGAACCCCTCATTCAAGAACACTTCTCAGGCAGAGAGTATGTCAGAGAAGACATACACAGCAGCGTTCAAACTCAGAGTGAGATCATGTTGCTGTAGGGTTTAGCAAGCAAGAGCTCCCTCAGCGCTCTCCAGTTTTGACGATTTCATTTGCAGCCCCTTTGCTTCCTTTTGATTTCCCCCCTCCCCTAAAATACATTCTGGTAAGGTAAGTTATACAGAGTAATGTGAGTAACACCATTAGATACAAGAAACGATGTATTTACCTGTTTTTGCAAACATATTGATTGAAACTTTAAAAAAGGATGAAAGAAAGAATAAAGCAGTGAGTTCCTGGTAAACCCAGCAGAAAGCAACAGAACTGCCTGACCAGTTCCAGAAGCAAACACACACATCTGGCCCTACCTGAAGTTTCTGAGTTGTTGTAAGATAGTCTCTAAATGCAGCAATTTGAGGTAACCAAAGGTAATGAGGACCCAGAAAATTGATCAGTGTGCATCAAAAGGGAAAGATGTCTCAAAAGAAAACTGAGTTATAAATGGGCATTGTCTTTTTACACGTGAATTCCACCGTAACAATGAATAAACCCAGCCTGTTAATGGTACTGACTAAGCAACTAATCGTACCATTGAACTTCTGCAGAAGCTAAGCACAAAAGAAACCCTCTCCTAAAGCACAGACACCACTTCACAAGATACTGGTCCTGAACGTAACTAAAGATATTGTAGGATAAAAAATTCCATGATGTTAAACACAAATACGGGATTTCAAATCACAGCAATGCAATGATGCCAAATGTAATTTATACACAAAAATTCAGAATACCACCAGGCTTAAATTTTTTTCTTTCATTTCTAAGAAACAGAGAATGAAGTAGAATTTTAATTAGGCCTTAAAAGACTTATTCCTGTTAAATAATATCCAAGACAAGTTTGGTATAGAGAAGGAGGTTATTTAGAATGAAAAAGTGCTCTTTATTCCACAGGAATGCATTCTAACTCAGAGATAAACTGAACACCAAGCTTACATACTTGGATTTTACTAAAATGAAGTCCTTGAGCTACAGGGTAAATACAACATCGACAGCTGCAATGCAAGGTTTCCCACAATGTTTTATCAAAGATGTTAGCCTTGACCTGAAGTAAGCATTTGCAATTCAGCTGCCACAGTATGGAAGAGCTACGCTTTTTTATAAGTGTAAGCTGCTGACTGGGCCAATAGTATGAAACTCTGTGAGGTGAATTTTTAAGTAGACTATGGTCAAAAACATTTTGTGGATTCATCTTCAGGCTTGGGCTAAATCTGACCTGCTGTCACAGAATCTAAAATACGCTGTTTCTGGTCAACAAATTTTTTAATCATAGAGCATATTAGAAAATAATTTAAAACCTAATTAAAAAACAAAAAAAGATAAAATCTTCATTTGGCCATTTTGCATGAAGACCATGAAACTGTTTCAAATCCAGGAAGAAAAAAGGATCTAGATAGCAGCAGCCTGGGTTTCTTAAAGGGACTTGAAACACAGGTGACTTTTGTCAATTTGTAGGAGAGGGAAAACTGCATATGCTCCACTCTCGATAGTTCAGTTGACTGGCTGCTATAGGAAATGGCAAATGACCATGAAAGAATAGGGGTAAAAAAGCATAATGGAACCTATCAGGTAAACCATACTGTGCAATCATTACCTTAGTGACAAAAGTGTTGCTGGGAGGGAATGAAAAAAGGTTATTTTTGTTTGTTTGTTTGTTTGATGTTAAATTCTCTGTCTCTGGTGAAACCCCATGAAAAATGATAGGGATTTATGCTCTTTGCACAGCATCTACTTTACCAAATTTTTTTAATGTAGTAATCAAAAGAAAAGAGAACTCACTTTTGGCATTTTATTCAAAACATTGACTTTTAATTTTCCTTTCACCTCTCTCTTCATTTTTATTCTGTAGATTTCAATGCCACTATTCTAAATCTGGAGGAAAACACAAAGCAGATTCAAAAGACTCCTACGCATAATGAGATGTTTCTAGTTCTGAAACATTCAGCGATCACTTAAGTACTTATCACCTGATAATCAAGGTAGCAAGGACTTCCCTGATCACTCACTCTTTATCTTAAACAAATCAATGCATTCCTCAAGTCACTTACCCTGTAGTCTCTGGACACACCTTCTGATGGGACAGACCCTGAAATCTGACTAGAAATGGTTGCAGCTATCAGCTGTTTACACCATTCCACATGGGATCCAGTCGGGCTACAAAAACAAAATATTTCAAATTATTTAGCAGTAATTCAAAATGTATATTGAGAATAGCATAGCAACTGAGCACATCCAGAAAACAAGACCATAAATACTCACTAACATCATAAAAATTAGCTTGCTTTGTGGGCAGAATGCAACTATTTCACTGATCAAATTGGGGAAAAGAATTTTACTAGATCTTATCAGAGATGTAGAGCTGTCAGTAGGTTAAAAGCAAGGTTAGGGTCCTAGGAACTTACAAAAATGTTGGTTTCCTTAACCAGTGTAATTTTTTTCATCATTCACACATTTTTTTCTTAAAGCCATCCATGGAATTAATTTCGTCGAGTAATAGGAAACTCCTTACACTTTCCTTATTATTATTTCCTGATTATTCAGCAAATCCTCAAAATTAAATTACTCTATGGTAGTATTTAAAAATTTAAACTACGTTAGTGTTGTATTCTATATTAACATTAAATGTAGAAAATACATGTTTTCTAAAGGGTAACTTCTAGCTAGCCATATCTTTTTACTACTCATAAAATAAGCTCTGAATAATCTTCAGGACGGGCCTTCCCATGCCACACCAAGGAATTCTGCAGCGTAGGGAGTTTATAAGAACCCTAAAGACAAAGCATCCGAACAGCGGAATTGCACTAAATCCCAGATTATGTGTTTTGAGAACAGTCGCCTGAACTAGTGCTGCTTACAAATAACGTAGTATTGACAGTGAGAAGCAATTACACAGTTTGCTGCCAGCCACTTTGAAGTGCGCTAGGTCTGCTTCAAAACATGCCAGCATCTGATGAAAAACTGGGAATGCCAGAGGGAACTGTTCCCTGAGTGCCACGGCAGCCTCAGCTGATGAGTTAGATAACTGCCATTTCTTCAGACAGTTTAGTTGGACTCTTCTACAGATTTATTCAGAAGTCAAATACAGAAAGAAAATTTGAATTCATTTTTAGAATTCATTCATAAACTAGCTTTGGATTCTGTGAGTATCCTGTGACATTGACGTGAGTAACTGCATACACATACCCAACAGGTGCACCACAACTCGGACATTAAGAGGGCGGGAGAATGGCATAAGATGACCAATTACTACTTAACTAGAGGTCTTTGCTTACACTAACTCTGCTAGGATAGGTAGATATAAGGTGAAGATGCATGCAACAACTTCATACCTGAAATGAAAGCTCTTTCAGAATTTTTCTGATAAATTTTAGTAGCTTTCTCCCCACCTGCAAATTTCTACACAGTACTAGATCACAAAATATTGTTTTGCAGCTAAAACACATCTATGATATTCCTGCTTGACCAAGAAGATAACTGTCAGGTTAGTGCTGAACTCGAGTCCAGATTCACTTAGAGAAACTTTTCCCTTAAGTTTTGCAAAAGAGTGCATGAGCTAAACCCTACAGTAATCCTTTTCTGATATCATTTATTTCTCCTTCTCTCACATCTCCTAATTTCTAGTGTATCTCTTTAGGATTTGCCTCAGTTTGTTTCCAAATAAGCATTTACTTGTTAATTAAGAAAAGGATTTATTTTTCTATGGCTTATCTTCACTGGGAATCACTACATCAACAAAGTTAATAGCAGCAGGAAAACGAATGTGACTGCAGGTCCATCTCCTACGATCTGTCTCAGGTTGTATCAGTGTACCACAGGATGCTGATCATACCGATGTGACTTATCACCATCTGTCAAGTGGGACACATACCAGTACGCGTCTTTTTGTTCTGTCTCATCTAAGGTCACGCACACGAGTGTAGCCTGCTACAACCGCACGGGCAAATAAATAAATTATATGACAAACGGACATTATAACTTTTCCAGGGTAGAACAAGATTAGGAGAAGAAAGAAAGATGCAAATTAAGATAAGAAAGTGCATTAATAAGGAACACAAAGATGCAAGTTTTGGTGATAGAAAACGGGCATTTGATTTCCACCTTCACTAGAACGATGTAGAACTCCAGGTTTCTCCTAACAGAAAAGAGAGGGAATATGGAGACTGGAACCTGGCACTGAATTTTAAATCCAGTCTTTTTTCTTTATTGTTCATCTGAGTGAGATTTCCGTTAGTTTCTACTCCTTGTTCAAGGATTTTTAAATTCAGCTCTGAAGCCTATCTCCAGCTGGGAGCTTCTGAAGGAAGGAGTTACTCTGCCGAACCGGTGCGGTAGCACCCGGCGCCAAGCTCCTGCGCGC